CCTGGACCCTCTGTTCCTATAGAAGGTGCTGGTGAGAAATGAAGGGCTCCATGGGCTGGGGAAGCAGTGGCCCATCAGCCTTGGGCAGAGGGCTAGGACTTCGCAGGTTAAACACAGCACAAGCCAGGTCCTGTGCTAGCGCTGCAGGTTGGTATTAGTCAATCAAAAACCCTCAACGCTAAATGCTGGGTTTGCCTGAAGCTCTGCTCCCCTTCAGGGGCAGATTGTCCTACTCCTCTGGTCTTTGCTGCCTCTTCCAGGTGACCATCAGTGGTGTACGATGGGTTGGGCAGCTCTGTGGACACCTCACGCAGAAACTCATCTCACCCCTTCCCCAGAGGGAGCCTCGCGGAGGGAAGGAACTGCTGGAGCACCCAGGGGACTGCCTCCAGCATCACAGCCACCACCCTGCCCTGGCCCCAGGGGCTGACTTCACTGCTGAATTAGGGTGAGGAAGACCAGGGCACGTCAGGGCTGCAGGCAGTGTCCCTGCAGCCTGGTCCTTGCATGAAAGAGCTATTTAGTGGAACTGGAAGAGCTGTTCCCCACCGCTGGGCAAGGCCAGCTCTCGTGTGGGGACTGTCCCTGTCACCAAACACTTCTCCACCTGCAAACGCCTCTCAGGGCTTCCCACCTGCCCTGCTTTATCTGAATTTGCTAACTCCAATGCGAAAGCACCTCACGGAATCACAGAATAGTAAAGGCTTGGGAGGAACCTCTGGAGATGATCCGGTCCAACCCCCTGCCAGAGCAGGTCCACACGTACCTGGCTGTCCAGCACTGACCTCCAACACTCAGAAACCTCTAAGCTAAAAGACTAAACGTTAATTTCAGCAAGAGATGGTCTCAGGCTACCGGTAACAAGGCAAGAAATGAAGACTCAAACTGGAAATGCCCACGCACCTTCCACCTAAATTAACACATCCCCGATCCATACGCTTGGACAGGCTGAAGAAGGTCGCAGAGACCTGTGCAAGGCTTCACGCTACAGCACAGCACCTCCCTCCTGAGCATCGCCCCAGGATGTGGCTGTACATCACAGCAAAGCTGCTCTGCTCCCCCCAAACCCACCCCCAGCCCCCTGCCCGGGGAAGCCACGGGGTGAGCTCCCAGCCCAGGAGCTGATCCTGAGGAACGGTGACCCGCCGAGGACAGCTTACCAGAGAAACACATCTGTTCTGCAGCCGAACATCCAGATTGGGAGGGAGGGGAGCGGGACTGCGGGTCTGACCCGGGACCAGGCTGTCCTCCTGCAGCACGGACCTCCCCCTCCTCGCACCCCGCGGGGCTTCAGACGCATCTGAGAGTCCTCCTCGCTTTGTGATATTTCTAACACCACGCATCAGGAAAGGCACCGGCGCTGTAATGGCTTTGTCAGGTTTATGACAATCGGTACTTCCCTGGTGTTTTTTAGAGGCTATAGACGACACCCTGGGCTATCTGGGTCAGGCAGCCCTTGCCAGCCCCCTTCTCTGCAGCTTTTGGGCTTTTTTTTGCAGCTTTTGGGGACTTTCCATCTGCAAGAACCGAGCTCATGCGCAGGACAGACGGTGCAAATGGCCTCCCCGGGAGCTGCTCTCCAGAAGGTTTGGTCCAGAGGGAAAAGCTGGGCCCCACTAAGAGCAGAAAGGACAGCGGAGGAGAGGTTTGCTCTCCCCACTGCAAGTAAGGCCAAGCGCCCACCTCCCCTCTGCTGGGAGGTCCCCAAGCCCAGCTCCCCTCTCCCCTTGCCCCTGTGCCCCACCAGCCAGGGGATTCCCCTGTGGGGGTCCCTGTACCCCCAGCAGCACATGGTGCCACGTCCCCACACCTTGGTGCCAGTCCCCCCGCCTGCCCAGCAGCAGGGCCACGGTGTGGGCACCACTCCACCCTCATCTGGGGTGAAGCACACGTGGCACCTTGGCACGGACACTCCACAGCCCATCCCTGCTTCACAGAATCACAGAATGCTATGCGGTTTGAAGGAACCTCTGGAGATCATCTAGTCCAACCCCCTCCCAGAGCAGGGGCACCCACAGCAGCTCCCACAGCAACGTCTCCGGGGGGGTTGGAATGTCTCCAGAGAAGAAGACTCCACCACCTCTCTGGGCAGTCTCTGACTCATGTTTAGGTGGAACTTCTTATATTCAAGTTTGTGCCCACTTCCTCTTGGCCTGTCCCTGGGCACCACTGGGAAAAGCCTGGCCCCATCCTCCTGACACCCACCCTTGAAGGATTTCAAGGCATTGAGCAGATCCCCCCTCACTCTGCTCTTCTCCACACTAAACACACCCAAGTCCCTCGGTCTCTCCTTCTAAGAGAGATGCTCTAGTCCCCTCAGCATCTTGGGAGCCCTTTGCTCTGCCCTCTCCAGCAGTTTCCTGTCCTTCTGGAACAGGGGAGCCCAGAACTGGACACAGTGCTCCAGATGGGGCTAGTACTCCTGCTTCAGGCACAGGCTTTCCATCAACTACACACCCAATGTTCATCACTCTGTCTGACGTACTCACTCCAGAAAAAGTGCCAGAACACCTGTGGGAGCCCAAGGGAGCATTGCCCAAGTGCCCAGTGCAACGGTGATGGCCACCCCTGGAGAAGAGACCATTTTCCAGTGTAGGCTTCAAATGGCAGAGCTGAGATGAGCCCCACTGCCCACTTCCCCACTCCCAGGAGCACTTCCACAACCAGAACAGCTTCACACCTCCATTTGGCTCACACCATGCACCACCACCATGGGCACCACCACCACCACCACCACGTCGGACCAGCGCAGGCTTCAGAGATTGCATTGCTGGGCTTAGAGCCTCATGGTTTTCACATGGAACGATGCGAGAAAGCCGAGCCCCACAGGATGCCAGCTCTTCCTCGGAGTGTATCATAGAATCACAGAACTGTCTAGGTTGGAAGGGACCTTTGAGATAATGGATTTGAACCATCAAGCGGGCTGTTCGGGCTGCCCGTCCGCTGTGTGCCGCTTGGCACTTGCCATGGGAGACTTGCAGCAAAGCCCAACCATGACACCCACCTCAAACCTTCAACGAAAGTCCCCCTTCCCATCCAACACATGCTCCCTTCACAGACTACGTGTCCATTCAGCCTCTCCCCACCTCTTCTGCCGCTGTTGCTCCATTGGAAGGGGCAGGATTCATCTCACACCCTGTTCTGCACCAACTGTACCACATCTCTGTGTGACACAAACTCCCTGGGAGCCCTTTACCATTAAGGCACAGAAAGGGGCACCTCACCTGAGGGATTCACAAACGCTTTCATCTTTTCTCACCTGCCTTATTGCAACAGCCTTTCCTCTGGCTTTGAGAAGTGCAGACGTAGCCCCTTCATCCCATGCCCGTTTAATGGGATGAGCTTCAACAAGGCCAAATGCCAGGTCCTGCCCTTGGGCCACACCCCCCCCCTGCAGCGCTACAGGCTGGGGGAAGTGTGGCTGGAGCTGCCTGGCAGAACAGGACCTGAGGGTTCTCGTTGACAAGTGGCTGAATATGAGGCAGCAGTGTGCCCAGGTGGCCAAGAAAGCCAATGGCATCCTGCCTTATATTAGAAATAGTGTGACCAGCTGAAGTAAGGAGGTGATTGTCCAGTTTTGGGCACCTCAGTACAAAGAGAGATCTGGAGGTGCTGGAGCGGGTGCAGAGGAGGGCAATGAAGCTGGTGAAGGGCCTGGAGAACAAATCTTATGAAGAGCAACTGAGGGACCTGGGACTGTTTAGTTTGAGGAAGAGGAGGCTGAGTGAAGACCTCATCACTCTCTGCAACTACTTGAAAGAACACTGTAGAGAGGTTGGTGCTGGTCTCTTCTCACAAGTAATTAGTGACAGAACAAGAGGGAATGGCTTAAAGCTGCAACAGGGTAGGTTTAGACTGGCCATTAGGAAACAATTCTTCACAGAACGAGTGGTCAGAGACTGGAACAGGCTGCCCAGGGAGGGGGTGGAGTCACCATCCCTGGATGTGTTTAAGGGACGTTTAGATGCAGTGCTGAGGGACATGGTGTAGGGGAGAACTTTGTAGAGTGGGGTTGATGGTTGGACTCGATGATCCCAAGGGTCTTTTCCAACCTGAATGAGTCTATGATTCTATGATTTGGCAGAGACCAGAGACAGAGCGTGATTTTCACTTGCAAGTACCACAGTAACATCTGCTCCACCTTCCTCCTCCAGCGAGGAGAGTCCCTATGAGCATTAACAAATGAATGATATGGCTCTCTCTTAAATCACTCCTTCAAACTATACACCCAAGCTGCTCCTCGTAGTGTCCCCCACCGCCCAGGGATGGACACCACGGCCCCGTCCCTGTGCTGGGACATCACTGTCACCACCCGCGCCGCGCAGACATGCCCCACCACACAGCACCCACCACTCCTGGCAGAGGTTCTGGCCACACGCGAGTACAAACACCAACAAAACAATAATAATAATAGCTCCAAGCTGCAGGAGTGAGCCCTCCAGCCACTTGTTTAAGGTGAAACTGCTGTTTTAATGTGGCTCCACTCCTTCCTTTCCTTTCTTTCAAACACCAGCAGGGAAATCAAGCGGGAGCAGAGTCCAACATGGCCTTCTCCAGAAAGGGAAAGGGGCAGGGGGCAACACAGGAGCAGAGCCGTGCCCACCCGCTCCATCCCATTCCTCTCTGCAGACCCCAACACGTGCACCCCCTCGGGCACAGCTGTAACAAAACCCAGCACAAACCAATCCTGACCGGTCTCCACAGGTGGCATCTAAGGAGTCTTCTCTCCAACCTCCATCTTGCCCCTAATTTCTGTTAGCAGAAGGGAACCTGCCAGCTCCTCTTCTAGCACAGACAGCACGCATCTGCTTGAATTACTGCACCTGAAGAACACTTTTGTCATCGAGACACCCAGGCAGCAGGCACTTCAGTAACAATTACTACCCAGCTCTCAAAGCACTTTACAAAAGACAATAATTTTTCAGGAGCCCCAGGCCCTTGCCCCGCAGAGGAAGGTGCTGCTGGAGCCGTGGGTCACTCTCTGCCGCAGCCGCGCTCACCTCAATCAGAAAGTCTCCCGTCCGAAGCCCCGCTCTCCAAGCGACACCTTCCACATCCACTGATTCCAGGTACTGGAGCGCTGGGAAGGCTGGGGTTGGGGTGAACTCCTCAATTGGGGTTTCAGCTACAAAAAAAAAAGCCAAAGAGAGAGAGGTTGAGACAGTGTGGCCAAAGGCAAGCAGAGGTTGGGACAGGAATGTCCAGGAGCGCAGGGAAATATCTCAATCTTGCTTGAGGAAGAACACGTACACAAAGCTCAGCTTGACTTCAGTGGAGGAACCAGAGCCAGTGCTACCCCCTGCAGCATCCACCAGCTTAGACCTGAGATGGCCCCACAGCTGCCCGGACACCAGTGACTCCCAGAGTCACATCTGCTCCCACAAGGTCCCCGAAGCCTCATCCATCCCCAGTACCACAGATGAAATGAGAACACCACCTACCACCGGTGCCAGGAGGGGTGAACTCCCTCCTCCTGTGCCCACCCCTGGGCTGGTGGCTCCTGGCCTCTTCCAGAGTCAGCAGAGGAATAACCACCTGCCCCAGTGCTTCCAGCACCCCAGCACCTCTCTCCTGCTGGTCCCACAGGGGACCACTGGCCCAGGAGCAGAGGGGCCACTTGTTGATGGACATCTATAAATCAACTCTACTCTTCATCAGCGAGGTTTTAATTGCATTCCTGTCTGGAAAACCTTCTCCTGCACCCCAAAGAATGCCACTTCCAGGGAAGGGACTCAGGTGGACCCAGGCAGCGCTCTTACATCATCCAGCTCCAGCCCATCGGGCCTCACTGCCCATCCAGGACGAAGGAATTTTTCAGGAGGGACACTCATCTTACAGCAGAGAGGAGCTCGTGGGATGTGATGAAGGAAGAAGCTTCCTTTGTCTGTGTCTCAAGAGGAGGCTGTTGCAGATGTTCAGAAACATCAGATCCACTAAAGAAATTAAGGAGAAAGGCCACAGCTACTCTTTACACATCTGGCCAGATGCTGTCACCTCAGACCACCAGTGTGACACAAGTGGGCTACTCTCCCCAGCACAGAGTGTATCGACCATGGCTGCTTCAGGGGCTGCTCAGGATTCTCCGAGAAGATTTTTGTTTCCCCCTTTGTGTGCTCTGACCAGCCCTGGTGCCTGGGGACCTGCTCTGGTGCAGAGGAGATTCTTGTGCTGCCACACAAGACCACAGCCCTGGATCAGTGAGGACTTCTTCCCCAGGCCTTGTATGACTGGGAACACCTGAAGCAGATCCTGGAGAAGCTTGAGACACCCCTGTTCTAACATCAGGCCACCTCCTTACTGGCTTTCACGTGTCACCAGACAGACGGGTGTTCCTAAAAGCCTGTGCCACGGGTGAGGAAAGGGTGGAGTTGCCTTTCCAAGAAAAGTGCTGCTTCTCGGCACCACGACACCCGGCCACCGGTTCCTGCAGCCTTTGGGGGATCAGCACCCACAGGGTCCTTCCAGCCCTACCTCTGCTCAGTGACAGTCCTGGCACTGGAGAGGGGATTGTGCCACCTCCTGCCATCTGCGCTGCTCTGACTCTGAGCTGTTCTCAGCCGGCAGCAGCTGCAAGGATGAGGATGAAGATGAGGAGCACTCAGCAAGCTGGGTGTGGGGGGTGAAGGTGCCATCCTCAAACCACTCGTGCCAGCAGATCTGTGCTGTTCCACATCACCCGCCTGCCATGGGCAATGGAAGGTATCGGCACATCAGGAACCAGCGGCTGGAAAGCCTGGGGAGGCTGTGACAGACCCGTGTGACACACCGCGGGGTCACCAGTGGCTGTCATCACTCCTGGGGCAGCCCCTCTGCTCAGGGCTGGCTGTCAAATAACGGATGGGAGTCATAGGGCAGGAGTCCTCTCCTGTGACAGCAGACGCTCTGCTGAGGAGCTCTTGAGCACACCTAGATCAGCAGGAGGAGATGGGGCTAACGAGCTGTGGGTTTGCCTAATGATGCAGCCTACATCACGCACCAGAAGACATCAGTGTCTGCAGGTCCAGGGAGGGGATTCTGCCCCTCGGCTCTGCTCTGGGGGAACCCCACCTGGAGCACTGTGTCCAGCTCTGGAGTCCTCAGCACAGGAGAGACATGGACCTGATGGAGCGGGGCCAGAGGAGGCCACGGAGATGCTGGGAGGGCTGGAGCCCCTCTACCGTGGGGACAGGCTGGGAGAGTTGGGGGTTTAAGCCTGGAGAAGAGAAGGCTCCAGGGAGACCTTGGAGACCCTTCCAGTCCCTCAAGGAGGGGGGCTCCAGGAGAGATGGGGAGGGACTCTGGATGAGGGAGGGGAGCCCTAGGAGGAGGGGGAAGGGTTGGACCCTGCAAGAGGGGAGATGGAGCTGAGCTGTGGGGAAGAACTTGTTTGGTGGGAGGGTGGTGAGAGCCTGGCCCAGGTTGGCCAGAGAAGCTGTGGCTGCCCCATCCCTGGAGGGGTTCAAGGGCAGGTTGGAGGGGGCTTGGAGCAACCTGGTCTGGTGGGAGGTGTCCCTGCCCAGGGCAGGGGGTGGGGTTCAAGGGCAGGTTGGAGGGGGCTTGGAGCAACCTGGGCTGGTGGGAGGTGTCCCTGCCCAGGGCCTGTTTGGCACTGTGATGCATTACTCTGCACTGCTTTCTCGGCAGGGTAATTAACACAGGAACTGTGTTAATTACTGTGTGATGAGGAGGGGCTGGCAAACCAGCACCCCAAAGACTCTCAGAGCTTGGCCGTGCTGCAGGTACCGTCCTGCCCTCGAGCAGGGTAATTCTCCTCGACGTAAGAGAGCAGCCAAAGGCGGTTGGTAAGAAATGCCCCAGCGAGACCACAGCTGCATGAACATCTGGCTCACACACACCCACAGCCCAGGAACCCAAGATGGAGAGATGCTCCCCAAACCCTGCCCAGGCCAGCAATTCTGGGGCCAGGAGAACTGAAGGTTCTCACTCAGGGCTTTTCAGCAGACTGATGGAGGTGGCTTTTGCTCACATGAATCTTTGGTCCATGCAGGATCCACCGTCTCATCTTCCTTCAGAAAAGCCAGCTGTAAAAGGACACTCTTGGCCAGAGCAGGGACTGCACTGAGGGATCCAGGATAACGTTCTGAGAAATCAAGCACCAAATGTCTTCCTTAGTGGCTGATGGTGCTGGAACAAACTGTTTGACTTGGAGAAATGCGACAAGCACGTCAGGAAAGCCCACAATTATCTCGTCTGCTACCATGCACAAGGGCCAGAGCCTTCAACAGAGGTCCCTGCAGGTCCACCCCTCACCTCAGCTGATGTATGCAGAAAGCAGGGTTTACTTTTGTTAGTAATATAGATAATGACGTATTGTATGGACAGACCTAGGTAAGTTATCCATCACTCTCAGTCCATTATCAAAACAAAGTATTTCTAAGAGCTGTGTCAAAACCCTAATGAAGCAGTAGATCTAATTAGAGAGTCAGCAGATGATCTTGTGCATCCATCTCCTTTGATGTCAGGTCACTCCAGCAAACGTGACCTACATTCCCTTCCATTTCTGCAAAACGTATAGACACTGATTTTATACAGATAAAAATATTTCCATCATTTACCATACTGCTTTTTAATTATTTTATTTACAGCTTTTATGCAAGATTTTTTCTGCTAAATCAGATAGCCACCGGCTAGCACCAGACCAAAGCACAGTTTGCCTGACAAGTTGTTAATATGCTGAATGATCTGATTACGCTCAGATTTTTTTATCACCAGCTTTCCACGACTTCTTCCTTTGATGGAAGTTAGCTTGAGTGGCAAACAGTTGACAAGTCATCCTACCTATCTTTAGAAATGCCAACGTAACATTTGATTTCTCCAAATCCTTCCCCAGCATTAAATTCAGCTCTTTGGATCAGCGTTGGCCAGCAAGTCCTTTCCACACTCTCAAGTTCCAAGAACCACAAACAGGACCTTTCTGCAGACTGTAGCTGCAGAACCAGGTGCCCATTGACTTACGGGGTGTAAGGTGAGAAAGACCTCGGGTATTGCCTAAACCTCTGAAAATGAGAAAAAGGAAGACTCAGGCTCCCTGAATGTCAAATAAATTATATATATAATGAGAACGAGACACACGGTCTCCACAGAAGATGAGCACTGTACTTCCTAAAGCAGGAACATCATCCCGACACACCAGCACTGCCTTCCCATCGTACATGCGTCCTAATTAATTCATGAAAAGGTTAAGTGGAAGTCCTGATCCCCGGGGAGGACAGAGCTGGACAGATGACAATTTACTGCGTTTCCCAGGCAGGAGAAGGAACCTGAGGCGAGGGCACCACGTATCACAGCAGCTCCACACACCCCATCGGGCTTCCCCCACCGCAATCCCACCGTTCAGAAGCTCTGCCCCCCGTTTCCCCCCCATGGGGCTGAGGGGACAGGGGGAAATCCCAAATCATGGCCCAGAGCCATCTGAGGGACAGCTCAAGGATGTCACTCTTTGTATTGGTAATCAAAGACACAAACGGATAGGGAATACAGATAAAATTGACCCAGGAAACCCAGCCTCATGGCCAATTCTGTCCCCAGCATTACTGATGAGTGACAGGAGGACTCCAGGCTCGCCATGTCCGTGGGCTGGGAGCCATCCATCTCCAGTAACTGCACGCCACACCACGCGATTTGTAAAGTGTCACTAGTGCCTTAAAGATTCAGTAAACAAGAAAACGCATCCTCGAGTCAGAACCATTTCCATACGGAACAAACGCTGGAAGCATAATTTAATACAGGAGAGGAAAACACAGGCAGAGGAAACCCTGCCCCTGCCCGCAGTCCCAGCACCCAGTCACAGGGAATCAGAAAGAAGCTCTAGCAATGGGCCAGTCAGATTAAACTAACCCACCCCTCTTCCAGGCAGGACTCACTGCTCCAGGTGCATCAGGCCATGGATGGAGGAGCTGGGACCTACAGGTGAGGTGGAACCCAGCACTGGGCATCCCACCTGCCTCAACTCACTCAGACTCCAGCAATACAGGGGAAAATGTGCTCCCGTGGTCCAGAACTTGCCCTTACAGCGGCTTTTAATCAAATACATCAGTGCTGTGCTCGTTCCTGGCCAGCACTGAGACTGCTCTGGGCCTGACTGCAAAGGACCAGCAAAGGGAGCAGCTCTCCTGCAGTACACGG